CACACACACTCCTCACACACACACACACTCCTCACACACACACACACACACACTCCTCCCCGGTCACCCCCGTTACACCGGGGGGGGTCCCGTGTCCCCCCCTCCCGCGCACTCACGCGCCCCTTCCCGCGCGCTCGCTCGCGACGCCCCGCCCCCCTGCGCACGCGCGGCCCCGCCCCGCGCCAGGAAGGGGCGGGGCCAACACATCCCCGCCCCGCCCGGTGCTCCCGGGGCTGTCCCGGTGTGTCCCGGGGCTGTCCCCATGTGTCCCGCTGTGTCCCGGTCACAGCCCGTCCATCAGTGCCAGCAGGTCCTCGCCCTTCCCGGCGCTGCCCGGGCGCGGCTCCGCCACCTCCAGCTCGCCCAGGATGCGGGACAGCTCCGCCCGCCGACCCGGCTCCTGCGGGAGACACGCCGCGCTCAGCCCCCGCCGGGACCGGGGCGGCCCCTTGGCCACCCAACCTGCCCTGGTGTTTGTCAGGATTCCAGTTCTCTTAGTAAATAATCACCAGTTCCACCGGCCTGGCAGAAAATCGGCCACTAGTTACTCAGTGTAACTTACTTAACGTTACTGAAGTGAAATGGGAAAAAATGTATTTTTAAGTCACTGTTCTGGGTGAAATTCGGCTCTTGGCAAGGCAGGAGCAGTGAGAACCGGCGGTGAGAAACACAAAATGTACCTGTGTGGCTTCAATGTTGATGACCTTGTAGGACAAGTCCTCTGGTCGGGTCTGTGCAGCGTGTCTGGATGGAAAATGTGAAAAGGGGGGTTAATCCCATGAAGACATACAAGGCAATGATAAAAAACAGGTTTCATGAGGCTCCTGTAGGCCCACAGGATGCCCAGAGAAGCCTACAGGGCCAGGCTGGACAGGGCTTGCAGCCACCTGGTCCAGTGGAAGGTGTCCCTGCCCACGGCAGGAGCAGAACTAAAGGATCCTCAAGGTCCCTCCCAGCCCAAACCATCCTGGGATTCCATGAAGTTTGGACAATGACCCTAATCCTACTTGTCAAATTAATGTATCGACCCCAGTTTGGAGACTTTTCCCTGTCCTACATTTTTCTGTTAAGTGCAGAAGAGAGGGAATATCTCTGTAGCTGCGATTCAAAGCAGGTAAGAACATCCTGCTCGAAGGGCTGTGGAGAGATGTCTCTGTCCCTGCAGACAGGACCAAGCACAGCTCCCAGCCAGTGCCAGCAAGGCACACGAGGCACCTGGAGCACAACAACAAAGGGCTAAACTCTGCTGGTCTGTCCCTAAAGCTGTGGAGGGCCAGCTTTGGTCTCCAGGGCACCCCAGACCAAGCAGGACAAGAACATACTCCTCCTCCTCGTCGGTCGTGAACAAATTCAGCCGAAATCCCGTCTCGCCACCAGCAGGTTTCTGGATGTCCAGACCCCCCAGCAGCCGGGCCAGGAAGTTCAGCTCCTCCTTGGCAAGAGGGTTGGGCACTGTGTTCTCCTGCAGGAAACAGCAAAATGGTCCCACTGGGCAGTTACCAGGGAGATGGGGCCTGTGAATAGTTTTGTTTTCTGATATCCCATAAATGTCCTTCAGAGCGATACAAACACACTGCTGTGCTGTTCCTGGGACAGGCTGTGCAGATAAACCAGGAACCAACAGATTTATACTGGAAATGGCTGCTGGAATTTACAGTCCCAGGACAAGGTAATTTTCCAGCTAAACTGAACAGCTGAGAAATCTGTAAATCCAGCTTTGTTTCCTGAGGAGATTAAAAGAGAAGCAAGCACATCCTTCCATAAGCCTGTGGATTCTTTGGGAAAATGTGCCCTTCCCCTGGCTCCAAAGGGAGTGGGAAGGACTGGACGAGGCTCTGAGAACAACAGAAGAGCTTCCTTAAGTTACCCCATACCTGGAGACCAAGAAGTTGGCCAGTTCAACCAGTGACACGACCATGACAACACTGACCTTTGCACGGGCTGCCAAGTTTTTGGATGATCCTGCCATGTGTGTCTCCACTGGCCGACTCACACTGTACCTGGAGGGAAAAACACACAGGGAAGGAGTTACTGGGGTGAGGGACAGGAACTGAAGGGAGCAGCACAGGATCCAGGACTTTAGGACATTTTCCTGAAGCCTGTGAAGAGCTGCAATGAGAGGTTACAGCTCAGCCTGGTGGAGTATTGAGGCACTGAGGTGTGTGAGGGACAAAGCTATAAGAGGGAACAGTGATCTCCCTTTGGATGGAAAATACACAAACATGGAGAATTCCATGGTTAAATTAAATCACATTTCACATAACATGCAGCACCAGGTGAGAACACTCTTTACTCAGCTCTACTGGAGACACAAACCCAAGTTTTGCTCTTTCCCACAGCTCTTTATACACACTGTCCACTTGTGTCCTGGGGCAGGGCAGCTCCTGGTAACCAAGTCAGGCTGATAATGGCAAAAGAGGCAAAACCACACACCTCCTGAACAATCCATATCCATCAACACTTGGTTCAGGTTCCTACACAGGATAAAAATTACTTACATATTTGTTCCAAGTTTGAGGACTCTGTCGCCATAAAGCTCAAAAGATCCTTCCCTTTGGGGAGTAACGTAATTCCCAGCAGTGGTGAACTCAGTCCTTTTAACTTCCACTCCTTTGTGATTGAAAATCCTTAAAACCAAGGCATTATTGAAACATTTAGTAGTTTTATTCCTGATTTTCAGTACCTACTTCCTCTGCTTCCCACACAAGGGGAATAAAACCCTATTCTGTAAAATCTGCCTTTTACAGGATAAATTACTAATAGCCCATTTACTGGGATAGAGAATTCCAGAAGCAGCTCAGCATTTCATTGCTGGGGGACTTAGTCCTGGGTCATGCCCTTTAAATAGTATTTACTGGAGTTCAGCTCTTTGTGTGCCAGGAACAGCACTGGGAGGGGGCTCCTGAGGCCTCTGGGACCCTGAGCAGCCCCAGGCAGGCCCCGACTCACCTGATGAGCCCTGGCACCTCTGTGCCCCAGGGGACAGGCCCCGAGATGGGCAGCACGAAGCGCCCGTTGGAGTTCTGCACTTTGTCCTTCAGGAAGATGGAGACCTGCAGAGGAACAGCACAGCCTGGGCAAAACCAGCCCTCTGACCCCACTGCTCTGCAGGCTGAGCTTGAGCCTCCCTGCCCGGGCTGGGGGAGGTCTGGATGTGTGTGCACAGACTGTGATACCCAGCCAGCAGTGTGGGATTGTGTTTCAGAGGGTGAGAAGTGATCTAAGATTAAAAACATTATATTAAAAAGTATGTCCTGTTTATGCACTTGAGTGTGATCAGTTTATTCAGAGAATATTGAAGCTTCAAGCTCAGGCTCTGAGTTTCATATCAAGTTTCTAAAAGGAAAAGCAGATTTATCAACTAGCAAATTGTACTGGCAGAGATTCCTTTTTTCATAACATATCAGAATTATTCAGTATTATTGTAGTAGATCCATTTGTGAAATCTGAGTGCAATTACAAGCACATCAGGACGACTGAAAATCACAAGTAACAAACCCAAACCTGCAATGTTTGTAACCAAATCCCTCTGTATTCCAGCCCCAACTCCCTGCCATGAGGCTCTTACCCTGATGTGCATGTCCTGAAAGAAAATGAGGAGCGTTTGCCTGATGAGCTGGAATTCACCATCAGAGAGACAGTTGTATGTCTGGAAAAGGAAAACCACCACACAAGGCCTTGCAGTTGTTCATGTCCCACCCAGGGAAAGGGGGAAACAAGTGCCTCAGAATATTCTGATACACAGAATATACAGTACATTCTGATCCACTTGAAGCAGAGATGCTGTAAGGGTGCTGCTGGTCATTATCAGTAATTATGTCTGTGACTAAAAGTCTGATTTAATTTCTGCTGAAGTCAGTGGAGACTTAAATCAGGCTGAATAAGCAATATATTGATTTAAACTGGGCCAGTAGAAAAATACCTCTTGACTCACAGACATGTACAATGCAGTATTTAGTCTCTAAGATTAACCTGGAAGAGGTAAAAAAACATAAAATCAAACCACAGTGTGTCCCACCCTTTTTCTGAGGGTTCTTACTTCGATCAGCTGCCGGAAGGTCTCATCCACCTGGTTCAGAATGGCAGGGGACTCGTAGATGAAATCCTTGATGGCATCCAGGTGGTTGAAGGTGACCAGCAGGATGTCCCTGGGCCGAGGGCACAGCAGCACTTGGTATTTGAAGGCCATGGTCATCAGGTCATAGAGCTGCAGGAGAAGGGAACGGAGCTGGGGAAGGGGCTGGAGCAGCAGGAGGGGCTGAGGGAGCTGGGGGGGCTCAGGCCAGAGAAAAGGAGGCTCAGGGGGGACCTTCTGGCTCTGCAACCCCCTGACAGGAGGGGGGAGCCGGGGGGGGTCGGGCTCTGCTCCCAGGGAACAAGGGACAGGAGGAGAGGGAACAGCCTCAAGCTGTGCCAGGGGAGGCTCAGGTTGGACATCAGGAGGAATTTCTCCCTGGAAAGGGTGGTCAGGCATTGGAAGGGGCTGCCCAGGGAGGTTTGGAGTCCCCACCTCTGGAGGTGCCCAAGGAAGGCCTGGATGTGGCTCTCAGTGCTCTGGGCTGGGGGACAAGGTGGGCATCGGGGGGATCCATGGGCTGGGAGGGCTTTTCCAACCTCAGTGATTCCATGAATTTCAGCAGCCCTGACACCCAGGTGGAGGGTTCTCTGACAATCCTGCTCTCACCATTTTTCCCTAAATTGGCTGTGGATTTACTGTTTGCAGGCAGTGATTCCAACCCCTGCAGCTGTCAGTGAGTGTCAGTACAGGAACACAGACACTGACACACACCCTCAGAGGTGCACATTTTCAATTATATGAAAACATCCAATAAACTTAAACAATAATCTTAAACTTTAAACTTCTTAAAATCAAACCCTGAGCTCACAAATACTCAGTCCTAAGGCAGCTGGTACCACCATGGATTTCCCAACAGCTCCTTTGGCTGAGAACCATTTTTACAAAGGAAGCAAATGGAAAGAGGGCTGTTCTGAAATGGGAAAGCCAGGGATAGTTCCCAGCACAGAAGCTGGTGGGGGGCAGCAGGGAAGCCCAGCCAGGAGGGGGGTGTTACCTTGTCCATGCTGGCCTGGTTGAGCCTCATGATGGAGGCGTGGGCCAGCCGGTCGTACACCGTCCTCAGGGCCTTCTTGGAGTACAGCTCCTGGGGCTTGAACAGCTCCTCCATGAACTTCCTGTTGAACATGGTGCTGATGATGTCGTTCATCACTGCAAAGACAAGGAGGCTCCGCTGTTTGCTTCCCACCATCCCTGGGCTCCATCCCACACGGACACCGGGGGCTCCCACGGGAGCTCAGCTGGGAGAGCAGGGACAGGGCACAGGAGGGGGGACCAGCACCTCCCAACCCCACAGTCCCTGGGCCCTGCCTGGGCTGAGCCCAGGGGCACAAACCACCTGGGCTGAAGGCAGCAGGCCCTGGTTCCCAGTGGGAACAAGGCTGGCTCTGTTGCCCTGGTTTTACAGCTGTGGTTGGTACTTTTCACTTGTAAATAATGTTGTTTATAGGCTGCTCTGACATGTTATTATCTAGAAAAGCTCCAGTTCTGCCTCCTAAGGAAACTATTCTGCATCACTCCTGAGTTGTGCAGACTGCAGCTACTTGGCTGTGCCTGTTCCCCTCTGACACTGCCAGTCTATCTTTTCTCTCTCAGCAGAAGCTCCTGGATGACTCAGGGCTCTCTGTAGTCTTTATTCCACACAGATTAAAACTGGCAGGTATTTAAGGAAGCATTTATATCCCTGGGATCTATGTCAGCCCATTCAGGGCTCTCACAGCTGCAACACCTGCAGGCACTGAGTGGCTCAAAGGCAGAATTCCAAACCTCCTTATGTGTGGTTCATGTTTTATGTGTAAATTTGGACCTGGAACTGTTTTGTGACTTACTGAAGAGTTTGTAGAGCTCAGGAGTGCTGAGTGTGAGGGCTGTGCTCTGGATATCGAGCTTTTAATGCACAGAAAATGGAAAACATTTTGCACTGGTTCAAGCAGATGCAGCATCTGAGCTTCTGTGCTGGATTGGACATTCTATTATCTCCCTGACAGACTCTGCAGAGTTATCACCAATAAACATTTATTTCTCTACCAAAAGAATGGTAAATGAAAATGCCAGGTCACACAGATTACTGGACAAGCATGGATTTTCCTAAGCAGGTGACTGTTCCTGAAGCCCACAATGCCAGACAATCCTTGGGGATTAGAAAAATCTCAGAATAAGTAATAAAAAGAGAAGGAAAAAGAGAAAAAGTGAACACAGAGACAGTGGTGGTGATCAGTGCTTTGAACTGCTGCCCTAATGATTCCCTGGGGGGTCAGACATGTGGCTTTTCACACCTGCCCTACACCAACAGCCAGAAGAAAGGTCATGTCCCTGTCACTCCACCTCTTCCGACAGGATTAACTCCCTGGGAACATTCCTTTCAAATAAGTTGTCCATAAAACAATCCCTACTTGCAACCTGAGGCAGAAGTCCTCACTATTTCATGGAGAAAAATCAAATATTATTAGTATCTATTTCATTTTGCAAGGAATCAATTATGAAAAAAACTAAGAACTTTAGCCTTATACACCTATCAAGGAAAGTATTTTTAAGCTGCTTGTGTGTGCTGCCCACAGAAAGGCTTCTCCTGTCTTTGCAGAGTCACAAATAACCCAAAACACCACCAGGAGACAGACACCTCCCAGTATGGTGATTTTTCAACGGAATTGAAGCTCTGTGTGAACCACACACCCAGTCTGACATAAATTATCTTCTAGAATTAAAACCTCTTGTGTGGGCTATAAAAAGAACCGGGAAAGACATAAAAAAAAATCACGGTAAAGGGCAAATCTCACACAGTTTGACAATAAATCTGTTCCATGTTCACTGATGACACAGCAAAGATCCCGGGGAGGCCCTGGGGAGCTGCTCACACCAGTGTGGCCATGGCAGGGGACACTGGAGGGCTGGCCCAGGACATGGCACAAGCAACACAGCAAAAAGCAACTGAGCAGAGAGGGGGGGCATCCACTGGGGTGGGAGGAGGGAAACCAGTACAGCCAACCAGGCAACCTCTCCTTGCTTTGGATGGGATAACATGGAGCATGTCATGAGATATTAAAGGCTGGAAAAGGGTGTTCTTGGAAACAGGATGCAATGGTAGCAAAAATAAGCTGGGGCAAACCCCAGGATATCAGTGTTTACCTGCAGTGAACATTAAACCCTGCCACAGATGCTTATTTTGAAAAACATGAACCATAACCCTGATCTCTGGTAAGAAAGGGCTGCTCAGAAGGCCACTGGGGGTTCTGCTCCTGCTCACTCAGCAAAAACCTGAGATTCAAGAGGTTCATTTCCTCACCCATCTCTTCAGCACAGCCCTTGCTGGAGGCTCCTGTTCCGGGCAGATTCCAGAGGGAAGCATGTTCACCCCTGGGCTGCTCCCCTGCAACACCCGCGGGTCAATCCCACCCTCGGGATCATCCCAGGCAGGAGGAGCTGGGCTGAGGGGCACCTGCTCCTTTGGGATCACCAGCACGGGCTGGGAAGGAGGCAGGATGGGAATGCCTTCAACCTTCCCTGGAGTTCACCTGTCCAAACCCTGAGCAGTGAGTCAGACAAGGCCTTGGAAAAATGGAGCTTGCCCAATATTCCTGTATTTCAGCAGACAAACCCCCACACTGCTCACACGATTGCATGCTTGCATTGAAACAATGCCAAAGAAACACAAACTGTTTTGACAGGAAAGGCCATTCAGATAATAAGTTTTGATCCATTTACAGTCTCTGTTAAACCAACAACTGATTTTTGAGGCCGTATGACTTTGAGACATTGCCTGTTTTCTCTCCAGGTGCATTCTAAGGCCCAGGTGAGCATTCCTGTGGATCTGTGACCCTGCCTGGAGGCTGCAGGAGCAGCCCTGGGGGTCAGGCAGGACCAGCCCCAGGTGAGCCCGTGGGGTTGGACTGGTGCATGCAGCCAGCAGTTACTGTACCTCGTTTCCTGTCCACATCTGTCCATTCATCTACACGAAGCATATAAAACAAAACAGCATTCGAGACGTGAGAACAAGAGTTGCAAGGAGAAGAAAAGAAATAAACTAAAAAAAAAAATAAAAGAGAAAAAAAAAAAGAAAAGCTAACTAATGGATTTTGTCTCTTCTCATCAGCATGTGGCACTGGAGAATCCTGCCCTCCCCTCAGATAAAACCCTGCTGCTTCAAAGCACATCAAATTTTACCCTTTGCATAGAGCTTGGGAAGTTTTCAGTTGCATTTTAAGTGAACAGTGTTCGAGTGAACAGCTTTAAGCATTAAGAAACACTTCGGTGTGGATGAACCACATCTCAGTGAAATCAACACCCAGTTTTTTGGAAGATAAATATCCACGTGTGGATAAACTAGAACAGATCCAATTCTCCTGCTGAGAGATTACATCCACCAAGATGTAATTTAGTTTGAACTCTAAACTCAGCCCTGTATGAACAGCAGTAAACTTTTGTCAAATCATTCTCTCAGGACACACCATAAATAAATAATTACAAATTACCCCCCCACGATAATATGATAATTAAACCCTTTGTTGTTTGGCATTTCATACAGGACAGGCAGAAGGGATAAACACAACAACCTCTTCAATACTGGGCTCAAATCCAGTTGATTTTTTATTAAAACATCCCAAAGCTTCCCCAGGTACATTCCCCATCCCACGACAGGGAGCTGCAAGGACTTGTAAAGCAAAGCTGTAGTGATTTAGAGTGGAAAACAAAGAGGTGCTGGGCTGTGAGCTGGAGTTTGGTGCCACATATGAAGGCACAGGGCTGCACAAGGATTTTGGCCAAATGCTGCTTGAGAGATCGTATAAAAACCAGACAAGGGTTTCAGGAGCCAGGCTTGTGTTATTTGACTTCAACACAATTTCATATCCTGCTTCTGCACAGGCATTACGAATTTATTCCTGGAAACTCCTTCCCGTTGCAAAGTGACCTGATCTGCTCCGGACAGTTCAGAACCTGGGCTGGCATCACCAAACCCTGAGTTATTCTGAGCCCAAAAGCACCTTTCCGAAGCTTTAACCCCCAAACCAAGCCCAGAAACACCGACGGGGCTCCAACCCCTCCTTGTCTGCGAGAAATCTCCCAAACCAGCCCCGGCAGCACCTCCGGGATGTCCCCGCAGAAACCTCCCCGAGCCCCTCGGCTGCGGGACAGCACCGAGGGTTAATGACCGCGATAATCACCGTGGCAATTAATTACCGCGATTGGGCCCCCGCCCCGGAGCGGCACTGACGGCACAGCGTGTCCGTGTGTCCCGGGACCCGGCAGCGGGGGCAGAGCCCTGCCCGGGGGGGGGGGCACCGGCACCGGAGCGGCCCCCGGGACCCGGGAGCGGCCCCCGCCCGGCGCTCACCTTTGCGCGCCTTCTCCCCCGGGATGCTCTGGGCGCGCAGCCGCTGGTCCAGGATGTAGAGCATCTCGCCGCCCAGGTTGAGGAACAGCAGCGGCAGCGTCCACACCGACATGGCCCCGGTACCGGCCTGCTCCTGCTCCGGTACCGGCCTGCTTCTGCTTCTGCTCCTGCTCCGGTACCGGCCTGCTTCTGCTCCTGCTCCTGCTCCTGCTCCTGCTCCCGCTCCCGCCCCGCCGCCGCTCCCCGCCCGTTGCCCGGCAACCGCGGCCCAATGGCGCGGGCCCGTCTTGGCGCGCGGGACACGCGTGCGCACCGGGCGGGGCCGCGGGGACATCCCGCCCTGAGGGGACACGGAACCCCCACAGTGCCACGAACCCCGGCAGTGCCACCCCCGGCACGGACACGGGCACGGACACCTCCCACAGCCCGGGGGGCTCCAGCCTGGCCTGGGATGCTTCCCGGCATGGGGCAGCCGCAGCTGCTCTGGGCAACCCCTGCCAGGGCCTCCCCACCCTCCCCGTCCAGGACACCGCAAGCACCAGCCTGAAATTAAACGCCCAAACCGCTCGAAGCACTCGCTGCCCTCCCCAGGCGCTCAGCTCGGCGCGGGCACCACATGAGCACAGAGGCCTCGGGTCTTTGGGCACGTGTTTATTGTCAGGCTGGCTGTGATGCTACACGGGAGTTCCCTCCTGTGTCGGCTTCTCCTGTGTCGGCTTCTCCTGTGCCTGGCCCTCCTGCCCCTGCCCCTCCTGTGCCAGCTTCTCCTGTCCCTGCTTCTCCTGTGCCAGCTTCTCCTGTGCCTGGCCCTCCTGCCCCTGCCCCTCCTGTGCCAGCTTCTCCTGCCCCTGCAGCCCCCTTGCCACCCTGGCTCTCGCCTGTTGCTCTCTCTGCTTCAGCCTCTCTGCTGCTTTCAGCTTCCGCGCCTCCTGGTACACCTGGGGGAGCAAAAGGTGAGACAGGGGTTGGTGAAGCTGCCCGCAGAGCTGCTCCCCGTGCAGCCTGCTGTGGGCAGAGCTGATCCACCACAGGCCAGATCAACTCCTCCCTCTGCGTCTCCTCAGGGCTCTGGCCAGCCCTGCTTTTGGTTGTGCTCAGTTATACCAAGTTCTACTTTAGTTACACCCATGTATTCAGAGCAGACAGTGGGTGCACCCACACTTCGATTCCAAACTGCCATAAAATTATCTCCTGTACCGATTCCCACTCCAGGCTCTGAGGAAAAAACAGCTGGTTTGAAAAATACATTTTTGAGCAAACAAGTAGCACAACCTGCAGTGCCTGAACACAGCACATGTGTCACTGCCCAGGACACAACCGTCCCTCGTGGAGCTCTTGGCTGAGCTCAGGCAGTTCTCTCCAGTCATTATCAAACCCAAAGCCTGGATTAGGCCTCGGCAATCAGATCAGCCCTTTCTGTCCTAACTGTGCCCTCCCCTGCAGCGGTGTTTTCCCAGCCCAGCTCCCCTGCCCCATACCTTGATGCAGAAGGCCTTCTTCACCAGCCAGCGCTTGGTGACGCGCCGTGTGTAGGGCGGGGGGAGGCTGTACTGGATGTCCAGCTGCTTGCAGGTGTTCTCAAAGGTGTCGTAGCGCACCCGCCGCAGGTACCCCAGCAGCTTCTTCCGCTTGTCCACGTCCATCAGCATCCGCCGCTTGTTGTTCTTGTCCTGCAAAGCACCCGGGGCTCACTGGCCTGCAGGGACACTGCCCTGCCATCCCATAAATCACTGAGAACAGACTGGGATCAGGCTGAAAGGGAACCACCAGGTAAAGGACAGGGCCTCAGAACAGCTTGTCTTGGCAGGTGCTGCGAGTGTGTCAGGTCAGCACAGGGAGATCCAGGAAGATTTCATTTACTTTGCACTGGAATTGCTTTCTCCGTTCTGTGGCTGCACCTTCCCCTTCTTCCCCGACCCCGAACACTGTTTTCAGCTTATGTGCAGTTTCAGGTGGTGGCAAAAGCTGCAGGGAAGGTCTGCTGGCTAAAACCTGCTGCCCCTGAAGTGTACTGCTCCAGAATAACACAGAGGCATTTACCTTCGTTTGGCCAGAAGTCAAATGTGAACATAACCCGTGACTTGGCTCTGTCTGACTGTCTGGTTGTTCTCTGGAAGGGAATGTGTGCAGCCTGAGCCACACCACTCAGGGCAATCCCTCATGGGAGACATTTCCCTGTCCTACAGGAGTGATTTGTGTAAAGCACAGGCTCCAGCCAAGGAAGTCTAAAAGGTCTCTGTGCTGGAACACTTGGTACAGCTTCTGGCTTGTATAAAACCTGAATTCTGTTCTGTTTTACCCTTCCAGTTTTCACGATTAACAAACAATTACGCACTTGTTAATCCACTTCCCACCTTTTCCCCTGCATAAAGAACCTTTAATAACTTTTATTCATAAACTCAGTTGTGACGTTTCAGATTTGGGCCCGAACCCAGGTAGCTGCAGGCAGGGAAGTGGCTGTTGGGACATTCACACAGCCCTGCCCACCAAACCTTTCCATGAGCAGCACCAGGACAGACTCTGCTCTTTGTCTCTCACTGCAGCTGCTGCAGTGACACATTAATTAGTGAAAACTAAGCAGTGAAGCCACATCTGCAGGGAGGAGAAATGGAGCTCAACTCTGCCCAAAGGGCTCTGCTCAGCCATTTCCTCCAGCAGTAACAAACCTGAACACCCTCCACGCCGAGTGGGTGAGAATCCGGCTGTGCCTGAGCCATCAGCTCCCCACATTGGCACCAGGGAACAGCTGGAACTGCTTCATAAACCTCCTTAGGAAAGCCACAGTCCCCGAAATTAAAGTCCTTTTGTTCTAAACCAAGAAAACCACCTGAGCGGCTGCGGGGTGTGGGCCCAGATCCCCGAGTTACCTTGGGATGCCTCTGGAGGTGCTCCTCAAGCATGCGGATCCTGGCAGTCAAAATTGCAACTGCGAAGAACAGAGTGAGCTGGGTGAGAGCAGCAGCCTTCCCAGGGGATCCAGGATCATCTGCCCTCCCTGAAGCTGCCAGCTGAGCACTGCTGCTCCCGAGGGACCCACAGCACCACGGCAGACACTGCCCACCAAACCACAGCACACAGCCTGCAGAGCTGTCACTGTTAAGAGGCTGCTCAGTTAGAAGGGAAAATTTTAACAACAGATCCTAAAAAATTTATCTGTGAAATTCCTCTTGCACTCAATTCCCAGTGATTTTACATTCATTTCACCTCATGTGGTTCAAGCTCTGGAGGAACAGAAAGCAACAAAGGTGTTTTTTTAACAAGAGCACCAGGCCAGCTCTGGTCAGGGCTCTGGAGGGAGCTGCTGGTGGCACCCTGAGGAACTGCAGGGCTTTACTGATGATGAGGAAGTGCATCTTGGTCAGTGCAGCGTGGCCTTTGTCCCTGCACTGTCCCCACACTGTGCTTCAGCCACAGCTCTCCAATGCAAAGGGAAATTTGAGTTCCATGGATAAATCTGGTTCATTCTGGTACCAGATGCAGCTCAATGCTTCATGTCTCAGGGGCACTCCAAGCAGAATAATGCACACGCTGCCTCTGGAGGGTGGATGTGGAGCAGGAATTTGGAAGCACCCCTGCAGTCTCTGCCAGTGAGCATCCACTGCCTCTGCAATGCTCCCACACCCGGAGCAGCCCCCCAGGGCATCCTGCCTCTCCAGTGCTCTCCTGGAGGAGATTCTCCTAAATTACACAGCCCACTGGAAGTGCTGGGGTGGAAACAGCTGAATAAAGGCAGAGATGTTTCATCTGCCAACAATATCCTTCCCTTTTAAACTTGCCTTGCACCTCAAAGGAGCCGTTGTCACTGGGAGACCTCCTGACCTTCTCCACCAGCTGCTGCTTCTTGATTTTCATCTTCTCCCTCTGTGGGTCACAGGAAAGAGCTTGTCACTCTCTCAGGAACACTAAAGGTCAGAGATACCAGCTCCCTCCACAAACACACAGGTAAAGGCTTTGCATTTAAGAGCTTTACTCAGGGGTTTTACATCCTTTTAAGCTGAAGTGACAACCAGCAAGGAGCGGTGAGATCTCTGTGCCACCTTATTATCTGTTTACTTTGTTTTCTGGGCATACAAAAGTAAAAATAGCTTGAAGAACATCTGCTGACCAGTGCACTGGTTTCTAGAACACAGGAGGCCAACCACAGGCAGCAACAGAACACAGCTCATCACCCCAGGACTGCTGAATACTTTCTTCTCTCATTTTAATGTTCAATTATTATCCTAAAGAAGACGGTGGGGTAAACTCTAGAAGCACACAAGAATTATCAATCTCATGTATTCAATCACCCCAGATTTGCAGTCACTTAAAAATACAGTAACTGAAAGGTATTTAACAACACAGACAGGTCTCACGCAAACGTGCTCACTATATCTATTTTTTTCCCCCAAGCAGAATGACACTGACCTGACTTGCCATTTCCAGGGACAACAGCCTTCTCACTACATCATCCACGCTGCAAGGAGACAGCAGATCAGTTTATAAGCTAGAATCAAGTCTATTTAACAAAAGAAATGAGCTCAGGTTTTCAGAACAGACTCACTTTCCTCAACTTTAATTTATTCTACAATAGAGTAGAGTACTACTCTCACATGGAGTAAACAAAGACCTCCCACAGCCCTAATCACTGACTGTGTCTGTAATTTGACTTTCAAACTGACTTTGTGATTTTTGTGCCCACAGAGCATTAATCAGTTAATTACTGAGCAGGTGACTGCATCCACATGGGGTGGTTCTATGTAAGATACAAAGCTCTGGAGAGAACAGCCATTCCCTCTCCCTGTGTCATACCTGTTCATCACTGGGAGATTGGCATAATCCTTCTTCAGCATGGTGGGAGGGAGGTCATCCAGCTGGCTGGGGATGTCTACAAAGAGGAGGCAAACATTTGAGGAAGAGCAGGACGGAGCCAGAGCTCTGAGCTGGCAAACTGGATCAGAGGAAACTGTGTGCTCCAAACAAGACAGAGAACTGAACAGATCCAGCCAGGCTGGCAGGAATTGAGTGAATAAAACAGGTTCAGTCTCTTCCCTTCAGCACTCAGGACTTACAACGTGCTGTACATGGATTTACAGAGTCCACTGAGCTCAGAGATCACAGCATGGTTTGGGTTGGAAGGGACCTTAGAGATTATCCAGTCCCACCCCCTGCCCTGGGCAGGGACACCTTCCACTAGCCCAGGCTGCTCCAAGTCCAACATGGCCTTGGACACTTACAGGGATGGAGCAAACACAGCTTCTCTGGGCAACCTGTGCCAGGGCCTCACCACACCCACAGAGCTCCCACTACTGGCAATCACTGATTTTCCCAAATTCGGGAGCTGCTGAATGTTCTGGGTGACTTCTGAGCAAGGAATTATTTCTGGAACGATTTCTGTGCCATGGGGGTACAACTCTGAGCACATCAACAGTACAGCATTGGTCCTGTGGTCCTGACCTACCTTTCTTCCTCCTTGTCACAGGTCTGGCATAACCCCTGGCTGCCTGGAGAGCAGGGCTGCAGGCTGGGTGGGAGAAACAAAGAGTTACCAGACTCGTGTGCACATCACACATCGCTCAGGTTGTGCAGGGGCAGAGCACTGAGGCTCTCCCTGAGCAGTGACCATGGCTTTAGTGCTGGGGCAGTGGGGACAGCTCAGCGTGGCTCTCACAGAGCTGTGCCCGTCCGAGCCCCTCAGCTGGGCACGGAGCAGCAGCACAGGCTGCAGAGCAGGAGGGCTGCCCTGCACAAATGTGGTCACTGAGAGAGTTTAAAGTGAGGAATTAACTCCAGTAACGCCACGAGTGGGGTGGAGGGGCTGCTCTGGGCCCCCCAGTGTCAGAGCTCAGGGCAGCCACCCCTGGGGACAACCTCTGTGTGAGCGCTCATCATCCGCCTGCACCGAGTCCTTCTTTGACCTTTCAGGAACAAACTCTTCCCGCTGCTGCTCCGGGCCCCGGGAATGGGGTTATTGCCCTGTTCCTGCACCGCGTTTGCAGGCACAGACCCGGCAGTCCCTGACCTGCCTGCACAGGGGGCAGAGGGGCCCGGGGGGCTCAGACCGCCCCGGGGCCCCTCAAGGTCACCCGGCTCTGTCCCCTCTCAGGTGTGTGGCCCCGAGTGGCCCCCGGGCCACCCCCGGACTGCCCCTTCCTTGCACCCTCAGCTCCCGCCGCGGCCCATCCGCCGCCCGCTCCCCAATTCCTCCACCGAGCCCCGCTTCCCCTTCCACCCCCCGTCCCCTTCCACCCCCCGTCCCTGCCGCGCCCCCCGCGCCCCTCACCGGCCCGCGCCCTGCCCAGCGCGGCGGCCCCGCCGCGGCCCAGCAGCGCCAGCATGGCCGCGCTCAGCGACACTCCGCCGTGGGCGCCGCCATCTTGCCCAGGCACGGCGGGCGAGCGCCGAGACGGGGCGGGGCGAGCGAGCGCCGAGCGCGCCGATGGGAGTCCCGGTCCCCATCGCGGTCCGCTCCCGGTCCTTGTCCCGGCCCTGTCCCCGCCCCTGTCTGGTCCCGGTCTCTTCCCTGTCCGCGTCCCCGTCCCTGTTCCCATCCCCATCCGCTTCCCGATCCCGCAGAGGCGCCCGGGTTGTTCTCAGCACGTTCCTGTTTATTGCGGAGGGGTGACAGGAGGGGACACACAGCGCGGGATGGAGCCGGGCAGCGGCGGATCCCGCATCCCGAGTCCCCGGTGGCGGTGGATCCCGCATCCCGGGTCCCCGGTGGATCCCGCATCCCTGGTCCCTGGTGGCGGTGGATCCCGCATCCCGGGTCCCCGGTGGATCCCGCATCCCTGGTCCCTGGTGGCGGTGGATCCCGCATCCCGGTCCCCGGTGGCATTCCCGGTGCCGCCGCCCGGCTCCATCCCGCGCTAGTCCGCCCGGCACTCGTGCAGCTCCTCGGCCCCGCCGATGCGGAGCCCCTGCAGCAGCGGGAAGCTGGCGGGGGGCTCCTCGGGGACCCACCAGTCCCCGGCGCCGTCCCCGCGGCCCCGCAGGTTCTCGTAGAAGCGGGGTGCGGGCTCGGGGAGCAGCCGCTGCCCCCGGTACCCCGCGCCGCCCACCCGCGCGTACTGCACGGGCTCTGCGGGGCCGTCCTGCCGCACGTAGGGCCGGGGCAGCGCCGAGGGGGCGGCGGGCGGCCCGGGGGGCTCCTTCCCCGGCGGCTTCCCCGGGGCCCCTTCCAGCACGGTGACGGTGGAGATGGTGGCCGGGCCGGGCTCCCTCGCGCCGGGGACCAGGAGCGGCTCCTGGGGGCAGCGGGAGGTCACAGCCGGTGCCACCTGCCCCCGGTGCCACCCGCCCCCGGTGCCACCCGCCCCTGGTGCCACCTGCCCCCGGTGTCCCCCGGTGGGGAGCAGGGCTGGGGGAGCGGCCGCCCCGGTCTCACCTGTGGCAGCACTGCCGGCACCCACTTGCCCAGGCTGCTGTTGGCGGGGTCGGGGACGCTGGGCCAGAGCTGCTCCTTCACTCTGGGGACCAGGGGACGAGGGTGCTCAGCCAGGGGGGCTGGAACGGGCGGGCTCGGGGCTGGGCTGGCTCCTGCCAAGCTCACGGCGGGATGTCACCACTCCCGGGACCGCCCTGTCCAGGGGCTGCTGGGGCAGCCCAGCCCGGGACAGGGCTCCTGGTACTCACCTCTCGTTCTTCTGGAAGCAGATGAGCAACAGTATGAGCAGGAGAAAGGCCAGCCCCAGGGTCAGGAACAGGAACTGGATCTCGGTGTCATCTGGGAAGTGGGACAGGGTCACAGGGAGCTGCGGTGGGCACCGTCAGCTGCGCTGTGCCACGAGGCCGGGGCAGGACCCCGGGGTCTGGGGGTCCCCTCCCCACGTGGCTGCCCCCCTCACCAAGCACTGTGGTCACCAGGGTCAGGCTGGTGCCGTTGGTGCCGCCGGCAGCCGTGGATACCATGATGTGCACCTTGTACAGGGTGGAGGGCCTCAGCCCCCGGATGACAAAGGAGCTGAGAGAGGGGTTCACGGTGGCACCTGGGGACACACAGGGCTGGGGTGGAATCCCCTCCCCTGCACGGCCCCTTGGGTCTCTGCTGGCAGCACCCGACCCTCTCTGAGGAGGGCACAGGGGCTGCTGATGCCCACACCCAGCACCTCGAGGCAGGACAGAGGGCACGGGCAGGACTCACTGGCCACGTCGGCCATGCTGTTGGCCCAGAAGATGGTGTAGTTGGTGATGAAGCCGTTCTGCACCTCCACTGGCAGCGGCTCCCAGCACAGCTCGGCCTCTGACTTGCTGATGCTCCTCAGGTGGAGCTTCGGGGCGTAGGATGGTGCTGGAAGGAGCAGGACAAGGCACCGGGCGCTGAGCAGAGCCACTGCCTTGGGTGGGAACTGGTGTGGGGGGGCTCCCACTCCTGAGGTGTGGGCACCAGGCCCTGCCCCACACCGTGGGGCAGCAGAGAACACCTCCAGAGACGAGCCAAACCCAGCCCTGCAGGCTGAGCTCTTGGGCACGGCCCCTGAGCTGGGGCTGTGGGGGAGTGCCCGTGCCTCCTTTCAGGAGGGCAGAGGCTCGGTGTGGGGTCCCGGGGCAGCCCCGGGGGGCACACGTACCCCTCTGCTGGGAGTAGGCTGCGGTGTGGACAGGCACCCCAACGGCGTCCTTGTAGAGGGGGTACAGGGAGATGTTGTACCGCTGGAAAGGCTCGATGCCATCTGCAACGCAGGGCAGGGGGGCCGAGCATTCGGGGCTCTGCTGCCAAGACCCCCCGGCTGTGCCACCCCCGCCCCACAGCACCAGCCCACCCTGCCCTGGGAGCGGAGCCAGAGCAAGGAGGGAGGGTGGGGGGTGGGCTCGGGGCAGGGTTTGGTCAGGACGGGTGTCAGCCCCCCAAGACAGCCAACCAGGGGGGCAGGGACCACCCGGCAGGGCAGGGACCCCCACTCACACTGGATGAGGGCTGCGGTGGCCGCCCCATCACGCTCCATCTGCCAGCAGGCGCCGCAGTGCCCGGGCTCCGATGTCACCCGCTGCCACTCCAGGACATAAGCGGCCACCGGGGCCGGCGGTGCCTCCCAGTGCACCCTGAGGCTGCTGATGTCCCCGGGCACAGCTCGGAGCCAGGCCAGGGGCTCACCTGCGTGGGACAAACAGCCGGGATGATGGGAGACGGGAGCATCCTGCATCACCCCCACTGTGCCTCCCACCCCAGAGTCAGCCCTGCTCCTCGCCCTGGTTGTGCACCCCATGGCAGCCTGTCTGGGGGCAGAGCAGAGCCCCTCGGGGGGCACACAGAGGTTTTGGGCACTGCCCTCACCTTTCCTCTCCAGGAGGACAACCTCGGTTGCCGGCGACTCTCCGGCGGCGTTGTAGGCTGAGAGATAGACCCTCCTGGTCCTCGCGGGCGCCGAGAAGTTGCACTCGGTGTGGGTGGTGTTGCAGACCGTGGGGGGGTCCCTGCCCCTCCTCCTGGGGCTCAGGGTGACACGGTAGCCCAGCACTCGCCCGTTGGCCTCGTGCCGCCGTGGGGCCTGGGCACAGGGGGATGTCAGTCCCTGCAGGGATCTCAGTCCCCGGGGTGATGCCCCTGCAGCCCCCAAGTGCCCACCCGCCCCCGCTCACCTTCCAGCGCAGCTGCACCTCCAGCCGCCCCCCTGCCCCGGCCGGCTGAGCCCCCCACCAGGCGTCCAGCTTCCCTGAGGGGGCTGCAAAAGGAGGAGCTGAGAGGGGCCAGTGTGGCCGTGCCCCAGCGCCGTGCTGCCTGCCCGGGCAGAGGGGACCCCTGGGTGACTCTGCACCGACCTTTCTCGTGGGTGGTGTAGTTCCTGCCCGGGCTCCACTCGCTCCAGAAAGCCAGTGCTGAGCTGCGCCGGCAGCGCAGCTGGAAGTGGTACCGTGTGCCGAAGAGGAAGCCGCAGCGCTGCGCGGTGCCGGCCCAGCCCACGATGCCAGTGACCTGGTGGCAGCCAGAGTGAGGGCTGTGCTGGCTCCTGCCTCGAGCAGGGGCTGGCCCTGGTGTGGGTGTGAGGGGACACCTTGTTGTCCCCCTCCCACACGAGCACTGGGAGCGCAGGGAGGGTCCCGGCTCCTGCCCGGTCCCAGCGCCCCAGCCGCGCTCACCAGGGTCCAGGCGGGGTCCTCGGGTGCCCGGTAGCGCAGCTCACACTGCAGCTCCATGTGCTCCGTGCCCCGCGCCACCTCCCAGGCCAGGGCAACGCAGTCGGTCTGGAAGGGGATGGACTGGATGCTCCTCAGGGTTGGGGGGTCCAGCTTGGCTGGAGGAAGAGCAGGAGAGAGCTGGAGAGATGCTGTGGTGGGACCATGGCCTCACATGCGTCTCTTGTTAATGCCAGGAGCTGCAGATGGGGTGCAGCATCAAGAAATGGCAAGAAACCACCCCGAACCATTTAGGAAAACAGCCTGTGGCAGGGGACAGGAGATGGTGCTGAGATGGGGCAATGCTCAGGAATGCAGCACTGGCACTGCTCTGCATTAATGCCTATGAAGGGAAAACAGATTTCGTGGGGCTTGGTGTCTGGAAGGCCCCACATTTGGGTCTGCCCACAGGTGAGAGTGTGGCACAGCCACGGGAGGGCTCAGCTGGTTCCCGGGCAGTCCTTCCCTGGGCCCAGAGCAAGGAGGATGAGCCGCTCCATCTGGAAAGGCTCCTTTTATAAATAGTTTATAGGCACCGGATCCATTATTAATAGACCTGCTGAATAAATGGGTAATCAATTGCTGGAGGAGCTGTGGAGGGCAGCAGGTCAACCGGCAGCTCATAACCCGCCGCACGCGCTGCTCGTGCAACGCGGCGCTGGCACCGATCCATCCCGGCAGGACATCCATCACGGAACCCGCCCGGGAAATGTGACCTCAAACCCGACCTGCTTTAATGGCACTTTAACACCCCTGTCACCGCTGACGAGCTCCCCTGGCCCCTGGCCCCTGTGCTGTCACTCACCCACGTCCATGGGGTCGATGCAGAGATGCTCCGACTCGGCCGTGCCCAGGGCGTTGGTGGCGGACACCCAGATCTCCATCTCCCGGTACAGCTGGAGCAGCGGGCGCGGCACCGTGCAGTGGCTGTGCCCGCCTCGCGGGGTGCAGCCCGTCACCGCCTGGGCTCTGCTCCTGCGGCAGCCAGAGGAGTGGGCTCGGGGTCCCTCCGGCAGGGGATGGGGCTTGGTGAGGGTTTGGCAGGGGAACCGCAGCCCCGGGGCTTACCCGGCACACTTCAGTGCCACGCTGGTGGGGAGGTGGCTGTCGGCTCCCTGCTCCCACCGGCACGTCAGCCCGTAGTCGCCGAGGTTCAGGACGCAGCTGAGGTTGAGGGGCTTTGCAGGAGGGTCTGGGGGGAGAGCGGGCGGGGAAGAGCCTGAGCAAGTGCCCATCCCGGGTGGGGAGGAGGGTGACAGGTGGCAGCGGCACTTACAGCCCGCCCTGATCTCGGCCATGCCCACGCGCTGCTTGGTCCCGTTCCACTCCACGCAGCACCATAGCCTGGCCTGTGTGTGGTTGAACTGGGGCAGGGTGAGCTCGGACACCTCCGTGCCCCCCGGGCCCTGGCGCTGGCTCCCAGCCACGGGCTTGTTGTCCAGCATCCAGCTGATCCGGACCTTCCCCTGCTCCAAGCCCTGGCAGAGTTCCCTCTGGATGGTGCAGGTTGCTGTGACAGCCGAGCCCAGGGTCACGACGGGCGAGCCCACGGCCACCGAGGCGCAGCCCAGAGTCCCTGCAGGCAGGAAATCATGTCACATCCCGGGCACGGCTGTGACAAAGCCACCTCAGCTTCTTGGTGCCCAGGCAGGACAGAGGGATGAGCCTCTTCCCTTAGACGGGCCCCCCAGCCCTGGAGAGGAAGAGCCGGGCGTTGGGCAAGCTGCCAGCACGTGCCAGGCCCCATCCTGCCCGTGCCCGCTGTGCCACTGCTCTTCCTGCCAGCCGGGATGGGCACGGGGTGCTGGGGACAGCACAGGATGGGCCCCACTCACCGCCCGGGCAGAGGAGCAGGAGCAGGGAGAGCTGGAGCAGGGGGGGTGTCCCAGCACGGCGCCTGGCCATGGTCTCCTCCGTGGCTTTGGCATCACCTGGAATGGAGAGAGCGGCTCGTCCCGGGGGTCGGCAAGGGCTGGGGGCGAGGCGGGCCGGAGGAGCCGGGCTCCATCGTTCCCGGCGCTTCCCGGAGCAGAATGTCCTTTAGCTGTCAGCGCCAGCCTCTCCCCAGCCCTTCCGACACCTCCGCCCCCGGCTCGGCCGCCCCCGCAGCCTCCGGCGCGGGCAGCGCAGCGGAGGAGCTGGGACGGGGGTCCCGCCCCGGCCCCGCTCCCCACCCCGGGCACAGCACCCCGGGCACAGCACCCCCTGCCCGGCCGCAGCACGGGCTGAGTTTATCTCCGCTATCTCCAGCCGCTGCCGGGCACAGATTTGCGGTTTGAGGGCGGGCGAGCGCTGGGGCGGCGGAGGGCCATCAGCTGGGGAGGGAAGCGAGTGACCGACGGCAGCACAGCGGGGCCGGCCCGAGCTGCGGGGTCCCCGCTGTCCCCCTGCCCGGGGCTGGGAATGGCCCTGCCTCTGTCCCTGCCTCTGTCCCTGCCCGGCCACCGGCTCATCCTCTGCCCCGGCCGGGTCCCGGCCGTGTCCCAGGAGGGGCTGCCTGTGCTGTGCCCAGTTTTGGGTACCCACAGCTGTTCCCTCCCCCCCAGCCCGAGCCGACGTCCAGAGGGAGATGAGGGACTCGAGCGTGGGAAATGGGACAGCAGCCACCCCCGAGCACCCAGCACGTGCGGCTGTCCCAGGCAGGGGACAGGGCAGAGCAGCCACAGACAAGGTGCTCAGTGGGACCTGAGCACCGCGCAGTCGTCCCTACCTCGCCCCCATCCCTACCTCGCCTCCATCCCCGCTTCTCCTCCGTGCCCGGCGTGTCCGGTCCGCGCTCACCGCCCGCTCCCAGCGCCGGGCTCGGGCTGCCGGGGGCTGGCCGTGCTCAGCCTGTTTGCTAACATGCTGCTTTCCCCGTTAGTTCCTCAAAACCAGGGCCGTTAATTGCTGTGACGCTCTGGAGAAGGTGATTGCAAAACACTTCCCTGAAGGCTGCGACCCCCTCTCCCGCCGCAGGCAGGAAAGCCCAGGGCACACAGACATCCCGAGCAGCGCCGGCCCCCACCCCGCCCGCTCCAGCAGCCCGGACCCGGACCAGTTCCTCACTGCTGCTGCCCTGGGGCCACCAGGCTGGGCTGGGGGACACGGTGGAGGACTTGGGGGACAGGTCCTGCAGGGGGACATGGGCTGGGGACGTGGGCCTCAAGGAGCAGGAGGCAAACCCAGCTGTGGCTGCCAGTGCCATGTGGTGCTGCCTGGGTGCAGCTCACAGCCCCCAGCCCGTGTCTGTGTCCATGTGCATGTGGTCCAGCTTGCCCCAGAGCGAGGGGACCCACAAGATGCCCAAGGGCAACCCATGACCTGCCTTCCCACCAGTGCTCCCAGTGCCGACCATTTACACAGGTTATTCCAGCAGCTCCTCGCCCAGGGCTGACCCGGGGGCTCACTGGCCCCGCAGGGACCCCCATGTCTGGTGGGCCGGGGCTGGCACGGGGGGCACCCAGGGGGTTGCCCAACCCACCACGCACTCACAGCCTTTGCAACCACGGCGGCTGTTGTGCAAACGGGTGTTTACTCCAGGGCCGGGGCTGTGTGTCACCTCCATGGGACGTTACAGAGCTCACGCAGCCCCACGCTGCCAACCGAGGGCCCAGCACAGCCCCCTGGGAGCAGAGTGCCCTGGGGTGGGGGGAGATGTGGCACTGCCTCCCGCAGAGGGGGATGGCCAGGGCCTCTGACCACCGAGCTCACAGCTCCCACAGCCCAAGCAAAGGCGTTTTCCCCCAAATCTGCCCTGCCCAGAGGGGGCCGTGCTGCTGGCAGGGGTGGGCTGGGGGCTCAGCACCCTGGGCTGGGCCATGGGGTCGATGCCCACCGCTGGCCTGGGCCAGGGGAGCTGCCCTCGCAACACCTCCCTGGGGTGGAGCAACCCCCAGTGTTTGGGGAGGAAGCCGTGCAGGCTGTTTACCAGCCGAGCAGGAATATCCGTGGGTAGCCATGGAGACGTGGGCATCTCCGTGGGAACTGAGGGCGTAGCTGCAAACACCCAGCTGGACTCTGCAAGCACTGGTGGGGCCCCCACGGGGTCCGTGCTGGGATCCCACGTCCCAGCCTGTGGAGGGGACCCCACCTGCCCCCGGCCTCACCCCATCCCTGCTCCACAGGGAAAGGGCCTGTCCCGAGAGGCTCCGAGCTGTGCCCTGGGAGCAGGGATGGAGCAAGGATGGAGCAGGGATGGAGCAGGGATGGGGTGGACCTGCCTCCTTGACACTGCTCTCGGTTCCCGTTCAGCTCTGAGTCACCCCCACAAGCCCTGGGATGGGACAGGGGACGAGGGAGGGTGCAGGATCCCATCCCTGCAGAGCCTCTGCAGCCAGAGCTGTGGGGCCTGGCCATCCCAGGGGCAGGAGGGTGCACGGGGAGGGGGCTGCCAGGGGCAAGAGCCTGGGATGAAACCCGAGGGTCCCACGGTGAGGCCGTGGCTGTGCAGAGGCAGGTGGGGACACGGGCTGTGG